AGCCTGGGCTTTTAGTGTAACCATCATCGGAATAATGTACATTGTACCCAGTAAGTAATTTCTCATTCCTCACCCATTCCGCCTCACCCCTCCGCCAGTATCCATTCATTCCATACTCTCTGTCCATGTGTATACATGAAAAATGATAGCTTTGACAGAGAACCTCTACAATTCTTTTTTTTCTTTTTCTGAGACAGAGTCACACTGTTCCCAGGCTGGAGTACAGTGGCTCAACCATGGCTCACAATGCAGCCTCAACCTCCCAGGCTCAAGTGATCCTCCCACTTCGCCTCCCAAAGTGCTGAGATTACCAGTGTGAGCCACCGTGCCCAGACTGTAGCTCCTTTTAATATGATTATTCTAGCTCTATAATTAACGCTGTGTAACTCACTGTACTATACAAAACATAAAAATGGCATGCATCAACAAGCCCTTTCTTCATTTCCTCATATCCTTCTCCACCTACTTTCTCATCACAAAGCCAGTAGTGACAACAAATTAGACAAGATTCCAGATGTGTAGCTCTTGAAGCCAATTTCATGAAAACTGTGTACCTAAATTTAGTGGGTCACAAGGAAACATTCTAATACGGTACCTTTCACCCATGGAAAAAAACATTTCCTTCTGAGGACTGAATTCTCAGAGCCAGGTTCAAAACCTTGGCAGGGGCCTTGGGAAAATGCTGAGAAGACTAATGCCAGCAGATCTTTCAGGAACCATTTATCAGTGGTTACAAAACAAAGGGTGTGTGTCTATACAGGGAGCTCCTCTCTCCTCTAGGCTTATGGGCCTGTGAATAATACTCAGGTATGGTGACCTCATTCTGCTGTCAGTCAAAAAGAAAATAAATGTGTGAGATAAAGGAAGAATAGAAATACGCACATGAATTTTGATGCCTACAGAAGCCTTGGGGAAAAAAATAAATATATGAATCTGGCTCCAAATCTCATGAATAAGAAAAAAACTCATTAAATCTAGGGAGTGTATCCAACTGGCTAGACCCAGATGAATCAGACAATGCTGCCTGAGCCTTGGGCTCCTAGCAGCCCAGAGCAAAGGAAACGAAACTGAACTCTGGGAAGAGGGGATGAGAGCTTCCGTGGACTCAAATCTCTCTACCTAGGCCAAGCTGTATGCCAAGAAGTCTTGCACTACAATCCTCCTAACTTTTAAGATAAAATGATTTGACAAGGAAAGGACCATGGCTTTTTCTCATAACAGGTTCAAGCCATCGGAGATACACAACGTGATTTTTTGTTTTAATGAATACATTACTCTTTTCTGTCATGCCTCTACCTCACTATCCGACAGGCTCCCAATGAATTTAAATTTCAAATATTTCCAAAAAGGAAATGAAGCCTAGGTTCAAGGGTTGGCAGTGAATTTTGAGAATGTGGCATGCCTGCTAATACTCACTTTCACATTTTCCCTAAATTCAGGAAGAGAGAAAAAATGATATGCCATTAAGGATGAATACAGTAGACCTGAGGTAAATTAATTCATGTGGTAGCCCCCAAAATCAGTTCATTTACCATCAGTGACAGAAGCAGCAACAGGAGAGTATGAAAGGACACTTGGGCTGGGCACAGTGGCTCATGCCAGCACTTTGGGAGGCCGAGACGGGCGGATCACAAAGTCAAGAGATTGAGACCATGGTGAAACCCCATCTCTACTAAAAAATACAAAAATTAGCTACGTGTGGTGGCGCACACCTGTGGTCCCAGCTACTCGGGAGGCTGAGGCAGGAGAATTGCTTCAACCAGGGAGGTGGAGGTTGTAGTGAGCCGAGGTCGCGCCACTACACTCCAGCCTGGCGCCTGGCAACAGAACAAGACTCTGTCTCAAAAAAAAAAGAAAGAACACTTGATCCTGAATACAGAGACTAAGAGTCCAGTCCCAGTTCTGCTGAACTCAATCTGTGACCTTGGACAAGTCCCTCCCCCTTCTGGGCTTAGGTCTTCATTTGTAAAGTGCCAGCTATTGAAGTAGCGCAGTGGCTGGCAGTCTTTTAAAGCAATGAACATTTTGTTCAGGTAAAATGATTCAAAGTTCATCAGAAGCTAAAACAAACTCAAAATGGCAGGTTGAACACATGAACATATCTCCACTCCTAGAAACTCCATTAAATGACTGGGCGCGGTGGCTCACACCTGTAATCCCAGCACTTTGGGAAGCCGATGCAGGTGGATCACGAGGTCGAGTTTGAGACCAGCCTGACCAACATGGTGAAACCCCGTCTCTACTAAAAATATAAAAATTAGCCGGGCATGATAGCACACGTCTGTAATCCCAGCTACTCAGGAGGCTGAGGCAGGAGAATTGTTTGAACCCAGGAGGTGGAGGCTGCAGTGAGCTGAGACTGTACCACTGCATTCCAGGCTGGGCAACAGAGTGAGACTCTGTTTCAAAAAAAAAAAAAAGAAACTCCATTAAATTATTATTAATAAATATATACCACTGGCCAGGGACAGTGGCTGGTGGCTCACACCTGTAATCCCAACACTCTGGGAGGCCAAGGCAGGTGGATCACTTGAGGTCACAAGTCTGACAAACATGGTAAAACTTTGTCTCTACAAAAATTAGCTGGGCATGGTGGTATGTGCCTGTAATACCAGCTACTCCAGAGGCTGAGGCAGGAGAATCGCTTGAACCTGGGAGGCGGAGGTTGCAGTGGGCCAAGATTGCACCACTGCACTCCAGCCTGGGCAACAGAGAAAGACTCTGTCTCAAAAGAAAGAAAGAAAGAAAAAAATATATATATGTATACACACACACACACACACACACACACACACACACACACACAACTTACTGAGCATTTACTACAGGATTATTTGAAGTACATTAACTAACTGAATCCTCAACACTCAAATAGGTGGTGGTCTCCATTTTACAGATGAGACAGAATCACCAGCATTTAAGGAAGCTGCTCATTTTCACAGCTAATAAGTGGCAGACTCAGAACTCAAACCTGGACAGTGTGGCTGCAGAGTCTATATGATACTGCCTCTTAGACTGACGATCAAGGAAGAGTGATGCTCCAAAGGAAAAAGAAGCAGAGACAGACAGCAGATTAGAAGAGTCAACAAAATTTTAGAAGAAGAAAAGAAGACAAATGAGAAGTAACTGACTTAGAGGATGCTGAGTGTTGCAGATGGCAAGCCACTGAAGAATCCCCTCCAAAATGGAACCATTGGAAATACCAGTTTCCTCTGAAGTTGTAAGCATGAGGAAGGGCTGAAATCAGGAAATACTGGTCTCCCTCCCCAAGGCAAGCAACTGCTGCATCACCACCCAGGTAGAAGACTGGAGGTTTACTCTTCGGACAGGATGAATAAGAGCCTCTAGACGTGGGTCATCAGGGTACCACTGAAGACAAGGAAGTGGTACCATTTAGAGAGATTAAGTGAAACTGCATACAGAAGGGAGAGCCTCCAGCCCTCTCCCACCATAAGGCTCCCAGAACAACAGCCAGGCTTATGCCCCCTAAGAGGAGGCCTGGAGAAAGATCTACAGTTCAAGACCAGCTTGGGCAACACAGTGAAACCCCGTCTCTACTATAAATAGAAAAAAATTAGCCAGGTGTGGTGGTGTGTGTACTGGGGAGGCTGAGGCAGGAGAATCACTTGAACCCAGGAGAGGGAGGTTGTAGTAAGCCGAGATCGCCCCACTGTAGCCTGGGCAACAGGGCAAGACTCCGTCTCAAAAAAAAGAAAATAAGAACAAAAGGATCTCTGCATAGTTTTGTTTTTTCTTTCTTTCTCTCTCTGTCTGTGTGTGTGTGTGTGTGTGTGTGTGTGAGAGAGAGAGAGAGAGAGAGAGGGAGGGAGAGAGAAAGTGAGAAATAGGAGCAATAGGGTCTTGCTCTGTTACCCAAGCTGAAGTGCAGCGGTGCGATTACAGTTCACTGCAGGCTTCACCTTCTAGGCTCAAGGGATTCTCCCACCTCAGTCTCCTGATAGCTGGGACTACAGGCACAGGCCACCATGCGCAGCCAATTTTTTATTATTTGTAGAGACAGGGTCTCCCTACATAGCCCAGGCTGGTCTCCAGCTCCCCCGCTCAAGTGATCCTCTCGCCTCTCAAAGTGCTGGGATTAGGAGCGTGAGCCACCGCGCCTGGCCTGCATGCTTTTTAAACAGGGGTCACCACAGATGCTGAGCGCTTTCCAGCCAAAGCCCAACAGGGAGCCCCACTCATTACTTCCCCAACCGGACGGCTCCACATGGTTCGGTGGCTTGGCCAGGGAGCAGCACAGTACGCCTCTTCCACATGAAAGGACCCAGGCACAGGAGGGAGGCTGGCTCTTGCGACCAGAATGCTGGTGGGGAACAGGTGGTTAAGATATCTTTCCCTCTTAATGTCAGTCAGCATCCCTCTCCCTATGCAGCCAAGAGGCCCAGCCCCAGGGACCTTTGTGATGGTGGTGGTGGTGAGCGGTGCCTTCAAGTGTGGGGCAGGTGGCTTCCCACCTCAAAAAATAACCAGATCAGATTTTAAAAGCTCTTAAGAGACAAAGCAGTAATTCAAAAATTAAGGGCAGGCAATGATTCCTAAGGAGAAGCCTTCTCCTCTACAACAGCACAGCCAACTTCAAGAGGCACAAAGAAATTTCTGTGGTGACAAGAAAAGGTGCTTCAGTGGTGCCCATCAGCACGTGGGGCCACCACCGCCCCTGCCTCCATAGAAGGTAAGTCCATTTTCTCTTATCTGTATGACAGAAAAGGGAGGCTGTCACCCCAATGTCTCCCACTCCGAGGGCCTAAGCGGCGCACCTCTCAACCTTTCCTTCCAAGGGCTAAAAGGCTGTCCTCTTCCTCTCCCCACTCGGCCCCTATCCCGTTCTCCTGCTTGGCACCTCTCTCCCCACTACTCTGTCCCCCACAAACCTCTTCTCCCCACGCCTCTCCCTGCTGACCTCTCTTTCCCTGTCCCCCGCCCCTTTTTGCTGCCCGCTCGACCCCTTTCACCTCAGCCCGCTGCTGCCCAACCCACGGTACCTTGAGGGTCACGTCGCACAGCTTGCCTTGCCGCCGGATCTCCTCCATGACTCCGTAGCCGCGACTAGGCAACTCGGACACCGAGAAGTGCACCAGATCCTCCAGCTCCTCCGCACCGTCCTCCACCATCTTCCCCGGCCGCCTCAACTGCGCAGGCCTCGCCGGCCGGCTACACACTAACCAGGGCGGGGCGAGCGCACACGCCGCCAGCAGCTCGGAGCGCGGAGCAGCAATCGGACGGGCCTCCGCGGCCGCCGTAGTTGAAACTCCTCGGCGCCGGAAGCCCCGCCGCCCCGCTTCCTGGTTCGTGTGCAGCCTTCGTTCCCTCGCTACCCCGACCTTCGCTTCGCGCATGCATCTGCCGAGTTCTTTCTAGATCAATCGGCCTCATCTCTCGTCTTCCCAATTCGGCCATGACCTCACCTGTATCCTCGACGTAGGACCTCGGACTTCATTTCCGCCACCCTCGACACTTCCGGAATCCCCGGAAGCGACCCGTTGCCATGGCGACCGTGTACACAGCCAGTCAGCCCCGCGTGGGGAGTGCAGGTGGCTTCGGTTGCAGCTTCGCGTCCTGGGAGCGTCCCTGCCTGGTAAACGGTGAGCAGAGGCTGCGCGCCGGTGAGAGTGGGGAGACGGGAGACCATGGCTGGAGTCCAAACGCCGATCTATCTGGAGGTTCCCAGCTTGGGTCCCTCATTTCTGAAACCCAGGCGAAGGAGGGCGAGACATCGCGGGAGTCCCTTCAGCCTGGCCACGACTTACGGTCTTCAGAGCCAATGTTCATTGGTCTCACAAAGGGATCCCACGTCGCGCCCAGGACATTGAAGCTGTGAGGCAGGGAGCCGGAGGTCGTCTGGACTCTTCTGCACTAGTCGGTTTTCGAACTAGAGGGGGTTTGGGGATCACCAGCCCGAGCCCTACTCTTTACAGATGAGGAAACCGCTCCCGAGAGGGACTGGAATGGGTCCAAGGCCTATTGCACCCCACGCTCCACGCGGGGGTTCGGCACATTGAGTGAGGAAAAGGAGAAAGGCCAGTTTTGCCTGAGTCCCAGTCTTGTTCAGCCAAGGCCAGGTGCAATTGGACCCAGTGTTTGGGGTTCGGGTGTTGCTGCTGCCACTACGGTAGCTATGAGGGTTCCCCATGACAGCCCCTGATCTGTACGGGAGCACTGGAAGATAGGGACCCACCTGGTGCCTACTGCCTCACCAAACGTTCTCTTTCTCTTGTCGAGCCTTCATGGGTGCTTGTGGCCAGTTCTGTTCATTCCCACTCAAAACAAATGAAGCAACCTTGAGCGTCTTAACACAGAAGTTTCCTGGTGGCCATTCAGAGACTTGCTTTGTTATAACAAATATCAAAGGGTGGTTCCCCAAGGAGAGGCATTTCCCACAAGTCCCGAGGGAGAAAGGGAGGGGGCCGGGGGCAATGGCTCACGCCTGTAATCCTGGCACTTTGGGAGGCCGAGGTGGGCGGATTGCTTGAGCTCAAGACCAGCCTGGATAACGTGGGAAAACCCTATCTCTACAAAAAATACAAAAATTTTCCGGGCATGTTGGTGCACGCCTGTAGTTCTGGCTGCTTGGGGGGCTGAAGTGGGAGGATCACTTGAATCCAGGAGATGAAGGCTGCGGTGAGCCATATTGTGCCACTGCACTCCAGCCTAGGAGACAGAGTGAGACTCTGTCTAAAAAAAAAAAAAAAAAAATTTTGTACCTGGAAACCAAGTGTCCTCCTGGAAGGGCTGTTTGCTTGGGTTGGAGTTGTCATGGAAGGGGAGTGACATCATATGTCTCTTGGGACTCTCTCAGTAGTGATTGAAGATGGAACCATATGTGGAGATTCTGCTGCCCCCTGACTTCCAGCCATTACCATCACCACCCACCACCATTTCCTGAACACCTCCTCTGTGCTGGGCTCTGCCCTGGACATTGTGGGGGGATTCAGAAGAGATAAAATCACAATCCTTGCCTTAATTTGGGAACTGAAACCCACTCAAATGGAGCGGCGTAAGAATGGTGACAAGCAGTATTTCAGTAAGTGCAAGATGGCATGGGGTCCCCCCCAAATGTTTGGATGTTAAGGGGAAGCTGAGTAGCAGGCTCACAAGACAAGTGTGCAAAGGAAGACTTATTGCAGGTAGATATAGCTCCTGGCATGCTTGGATCCATGGTGTCAGCATGGGGAGGGCCTTGGGTAGCATACATGGGGTGACTGCATGTGCACGTGCATGTTGCCAAATAGCAAGGCAGAGAAGGGCCAGGCTCTGGAGGGAGAGTGATGCTTTTGTTTTGTTTCGTTGAGACAGAGTCTCACTCTGTCATCCAGGCTGGAGAGCAGTGGTGCACCATCACTGCTCAAGTGATCTTCCTCCTTAAGCCTTCTGAGTAACTGGGACCACATGCATACATCACCACACTTAGCAGATTTTAAAAATTTTTTGTAGAGACAAGGTCTTGCCCAGGCTGGCCTCTAATCCCTGGCCTCAAGCGATCCTCCCACTTTGGCCTCCCAAAGTGCTGCGTTTACAGGCGTGAGCCACCATGCCCAGCTGAGGTTGATGCTCTGAACTGGCCCATGCTACCCTTGTGCAGGGGCTTCAGGGAGGGAGGCCTAGGCACCTGCTCCCAGAGCTCCCCTGCTTCTTCATGGTCTCTTTCGGAGCATACCCTGGATGGCATCTGAACTTCCCTGGGCAGGAGAATGGGCCCTTGGATGTGAAGAGTGATTCCCTAAGCTTTAGAAATTGAGTGTGAGTGTGAGGCTGAGGTGGGTGGATTGCTTGAACCCAGGAGTTTAAGACCAGCCTGAGCAACATGTTGAAACTCCATCTCTACAAAAATGCAAAACATTAGTCTAGTGTGGTGGCATGCACCTGTCCTTCCAGCTACCCTGGAAGTTGAGGTGGGAGGATTGCTTGAGCCTGGGTGACAGAGGCTGCAGTGAGCTGAAATCACACCAGTGTACTCTAGCCTGGGAGACACAGTGAAACTCTGTCTCAAAAATAATAAATTAAATAATAAATTAATTAAAATCTGGAATAACTTTTATCAGGTAATACCCATTGGACCTCTCTTAATTTTATATAAAATGTTACCGTTATTTAATGTACTTTTTAATAAAGCAAGATAATCTAAGTAAAAGAAGTCCCTGTTATACATGAGGGGTTTTTTTATAGTTAATGTCTTAAAAGTTCGTTTTTGTTTTGTTTTGTTTTGTTTTGTTTTGTTTTGTTTTGTTTTAGACTGAGTCTTGCTTTTTCACCCAGGCTGCAGTGCAGTGGCATGATCTTGGCTCACTACAACCTCCACCTTCTAGATTCAAGCGATTCTGCCATCTCAGCCTACCTAGCAGCTGAGATTACAGGTGCTCACCACCACACCCAGCTAATTTTTGTTTGTTTGTTTGTTTGTTTTGAGATGGAATCTTGCACTGTCACCCAGGCTGTAGTGCAGTGGCATGATCTCGGCTCACTGCAATCTCCACCTCCTGGGTTCAAGCAATTCTCCTGTCTCAGCCTCCTGAGTAGTTGGGACTACAAGCAAGCGCCACCATACCCAGCTAATTTTTTTGTATTTTTAGTAGAGATGGTTTTTCACCATGTTGGCCAGGATGGTCTTGATCTCCTGATCTTGTGATCCGCCCCCTCCTTGGTCTCCCAAAGTGCTGGGATTACAGGTGTGAGCCACTGCTTCCGGCCGCCTGGCTAATTTTTGTATTCTTTCCAGAGATGGGGTTTCATCATGTTGCCCAGGCTGGTTTCAAACTCCTCCGCTCAAGAGATCTGCCCACTTTGGCCTCCCAAAGTGCTGGGATTACAGTGTGAGCCACTGCACCTAGCCAAAAGCTAGTTTTTTAAAAGCCAACCCATGCACCTGTAGTCTCAGCTACAGGTTAAGAGAAGGTTAAGAGAATCACTTGAGCTCAGAAGTTCAAGGGCAGACTAGGCAACATAAAGAAACCCTTGTCTGTAAAAATAAAAAAAATAAAATGAATGTTAATTTTTAAAATATTGAACATTGCTGGGCATGCCTATAATCCCAGCACTTTGGAAGTCCAATGCATGAGGATCATTTGAGGCTAGGAGTTCAAGACCAGCCTAGGCAACATAGTAAGACACCATCTCTACAAAAGAAGGTAAGAAAATTAGCTGGGCACAGTGGAATGCACCTATACTCCCAGGATCACTTGAGCCCAAGAGGTCAAGGCTGCATTGAGCCGTGATTGTACCACTGCACTCCAACCTGGGTGACAGAGTGAGAGTCTGTCTCGAAAAAATATATATGTGTGTGTGTATATATATTTGTATGTCTTATGTCTTCCTTTATATATGTGTATATATATATGTGTGTGTGTGTGTCTTATGTGTATATGTATGTATATGTCTCATGTCTTCATTTATACTACTGTATATATGTGCACATGCATGCACACACACACATTGAAAGAAAATGATGACAATTTAGTTAGGTTTTAGGAGAGCAAGAGGAGGTAGGGGACTGTCTGTGATATTTTTTCTCAATGTAGTAAGAGAAGAAAGAATATTTGATTATGGACCAAGTATTCTTCTAGGGCATTTACTTCTGATCTAGTGAGTCTGTCAGAGGAAAGGATGCTGTATCTGAAGCCAGATAAGTTAATGAGAAGAAAATTAGTTTTAATGTATTTCATAGTAAATATTTTAGAAGAAAATATAAAAGAAGGAAAGCCTAAGTGGACTCATCATCTTAGATGCAGAACATTTCTAGAAATGACATCTAAGATTAGGCCAGCATTCTTTTTACTTTGTATCTCGGTTTCTCTGGGATCGTTGGTGGAAAGTGGCAGAGCAGCCTGTGAAGCAGGAAGGGCGTGTATCTGTTGAGCAGTGTCTTGTGGTAGGACACTGAAATGGTGAGGGGTGAAAAGGAAGACTGGCTTTCAGGGAGAGAGGGAAACATGGACTGCTCGTCACTCTTTCTGATCTTCTTAATGAATGACCCCTCTCCTCTACTTGTTATTTGATAATGACTATTCAAAATTTCATTGTTCCCTTCTTTTTAGCTAGAATGGGTACTAGGAAAAAAGTTCACGCATTTGTCCGTGTCAAACCGACCGATGACTTTGCTCACGAAATGATCAGATATGGAGATGACAATAAAGTAAGTGCGATGTGTTTGCCTTTACCCGACTGGCCTCTCTGTCCCACCTGACTATAGTGTGACTGTATTTCCAAATGACCTTTGAAGGACCAAGACAGAATTGGACAGGATCCAATCAAGTCCAAACTACCCCCTCACAATGCTGTTAATTAGGAAATTCATAAAAATCCCATCTTTAATTGTCTTTTAATGATTTTACCTTTAATGAATTAATAAGTTT